CGTTTCTCCAAAATCTATTTACTCAAAAGGAAGTCTGAAACATTGTCGCGCTTCAAAGAATTTGTATCATACGCCGAAAATATCATGTCTAGTTCCAATCTCAAAGTTTCCATTCTACATACTGATCGAGGAGGTGAATACAACTCCAATGAATTCACCCTGTATACCAAGTCCAAAGGTATCTCCATTGAACAAGCCCCTGCAAACACCCCGCAACAAAATGGTGTAGCTGAGCGGTACAATAAAACCTTAATACAAAAGATGCTAGCAATAATGAGTGCTGGTAGCCTTCCAAAATGGCTTTGGGGTGAAGTTGCCGTAACAGCGTCACTACTCATCAACATTGCTCCTTCATCAACCTTAAAATCGGACAATCCTTACCGACTATGGATGCACCACAGCAATCCTAAAGGCTCACACCAGAATTTTGACTACTCTTACCTACGAGTCATTGGTTGCAGAGCCTACTCTAAGATAGACAAACGAGACAAACTCTCATCTAAAGCTCATGAACTTGTCATGATTGGCTACGACACTGTCTCCAAAGCTTACCGTCTGTTAGACCCCAAAAATAAGAAAGTTATAGTTTCCCGAAATGCCATATTCAATGAAACCCATTTTCCATATTCGGTGACATCTCCAGAACCTAATGACATCCAATTTGATTTTGACTCCAACGATGCCCTTTTTAAACCTGCTAATACCATAACTAATGTCACAGAACCAGTGACAGACAACCCAAACACAGCGCAAATCAATCAAAGGGACGGTCCTTTATCTACACAATCCAACTCCGGGAACTCACCTCACCCTTGCACATCCACTACCACACAACCCTCCACCATCACGCCTGTCGCCCTATCTCGTCCTACCAGAAGTTGTGGACGACCAGAATTCTACAGTAACCCAGTTGCTCACATTACTCAATTCAACCCCGATGAACCATCTTACCGACAAGCCATGGCGTCCGATGATCGTGATAAGTGGATTGAAGCAATGCAGGCCGAATTCAACTCCCTCGTCCAACACAACATCGGTGAACTCGTGGATCTCCCGCCAAACGGACATCAGATTGGAGGGATGTGGCGCTTAAAAGTCAAACGAGATCAATTCGGTGAGATCATCAAATACAAAGCCAGGTGGGTGGCGTTCAGAAATCATCAAATACCTGGAATCGACTTCGATCAAACCTACGCCTCTGTTGGGATATCCGATACTCTTCGCATACTATTCGCTCTCACCGCAAACGAAGACCTTGAGATGGAGCAATTCGACATTGCCACCGCATTCTTAAACGGCCGGATGGAACACTCTGTTTACATCCAACAGGTAACCGGGTTCGAGGATCCTACTCATCCCAACAGAGTCATTCGACTCGACCAGTCTCTATACGGTACTCGCCAGGCTCATCGACAATTCAATACGGACCTAAAAGAAAAACTTTTGAATCTTCAATTCACCAGCACTTTCGATGACGACTCACTCTACTTCCGACGTGACGGTAATAACTTCGTCTACATCCACATGCACGTAGACGATGGTTTAGTTTTCTCGAACTCAAAGGAGATGATGGCGCAATTCAAGGACGAATTCAAGGAATGCTACTCGTTGAAATGGAATGACAATCCGTCATTACATCTTGGACTCAAAATTTCTCGCGATCGTCCGAATCACCGACTCATGGTGTCACAAGAACACTACCTAAAGGAGGTTTTGAAACGTTTCGAGATGCAAGACTCAAACACTAATACCACACCTCTTCCTAATAACATCTCTCTCGAAAAAGCCACCGTAACCGACAACACCTTACCCTTCCAACAAGCCATCGGATGCTTGTCCTATGCCGCAATTTGCACCCGTCCAGACATACAGTACGCTGTGAATTATCTTGCCCGCTTCTCCGCCTGCTACGATCGAACGCACTGGACTGCTGTCAAACACTTACTACGCTATGTCAAAGGCACCTTGGACAGGGGTATTGTTTTTGAAAAAGACGACGAAGCATCTAAAAACAAAATCACAGCATACACCGACGCTGACTACGACTCTTGTATCATCACTCGTCGCTCCACCACGGGTCATGCCATTATGTGGCGCGGATGTCTCATCTCATGGAAGAGCAAACGACAACGCATGGTAGCCCTCTCCACCACTGAGGCCGAATACATGGCTATATCCGATGCCGCAAAACATCTCTTATGGATGAGAAGAATGATTAGTCTGGTTACCCAAACATCAATGGAATCCGCCGACGTCATCACTGACATGGAACTCTTTAACAATAACAACGGCGCAATATTCCTCTCCCAAGAATCCGCTATCAACCAACGTTCTAAACATATCGATATACGCTATCATTTCATCCGCAAACTAGTCAAAGACAAGAAAATTCAAACCCGTCACATTGATACCAAATCCATGCCTGCCGACATGCTCACTAAAAACGCGGGGGCCATTGTCATCGATTGTTGCCGAAAAATCTTCAACAACGTCGCTCTTCGTGAATTACCCGAATAATCCTGAGCAGGGGGGGCTGTTACAACCACAGTCCGGAAGTCAGGTACTTCCTCAGTCCTTTCTCATACTCAGAACCATTCACACACTCCGCGCCTTCCCAATCTCCACATCGATGTAATTCCTTAACTCAACACTACTCTTACTGACTCAACATTTACTCTCAATCAGACCGAAATCAGCCTCAGCTTCTCAGACTCAACACACAAACAAAATCCTTTCAGGAACTGAACCGATCTTTGTTACTGTTACCGTTTATCCCTTTTCCTTCTGTTTGTTCATGTACTCAAATGCTACGCGTGTTCTCTCTTCCTTTATATACATGCTTACAAAGGAATAGCCAAATATTTGTACTTATAAGACTGCTGCCTGTTGACTGTCTGTTTCTCTTCTCTCTCTCTCATGCTTTACGGAATACATACTTCTGCCTATCTCATCTCACAGTCACTGACTTCGACAGTCAGACTCTCCCATTTCTGTGCCACGCACTACTATCATCGCACCTCGTGCACGCACTGCCCTCGCTAGAAGTAAGCCAATGGGTTTGCAGGATAGGATTAGGCATGATGATTTCATCTTTCATCAAGTGGAAATTTTCTCCCATTGGATAGCCACCTTGATTTTCCTTTTGAATATTTTCAGAAATTATCTTACCTAAATGCCTGCTCATCAACAACTAAAAACACCTCCTTTACTTTCATTTTCATGGTTCTTAACCCCAATCTTAAACAGGACATTTCAAAAACTTATTGACACTAAATATTTCACCCTTGGCAAAATCAAAAATATGATCAAAAGGACTTTCAAAAGCTGAGTTGTATGTACAGTGGAATTGTGTTTTGCTTATCCAAAAATTGGTAGCATATTGTTATTTCCCACCAGCTCATTGAATTATCATACTAATTTTCATCATAAGTTTTCTCCATTTGGTACGTACCAACAATTCAAAACTCCTGAAATTTTGATCTGAAAAATATTTTTGAATTTGATACTGTCCCATCATCAAATAAAAAATGGATATTTTTGGCCAATCAATTCCTATTTTCAACAGTCTCAAGGCAATACTTGAAAATCCCTTCAACCTAATCAATGTAAAATGCAATGGATGTGTGCATTGATAGCCTGATGCTGTTCTCCATCATAGATAAAAGAGAGGGAGCTCACAATTCCTATTTCAAAAGATGGTTTTGATGGAGCTTGCTGGTTAATGATGTACTGTATCTACCCTAGTAGGGTTGCTGATGAGGATGACATGCCATTCAATGTGCCTATTTGCTTTTATGCATAAAAATATCAACAAATAGTAAAGGAAGAATGTATAGGGTATGTCATTCTTTATCCACATAGCTGAACACTGTCTCCCTGAATTCTGTTGTCCCATTGATTGGTTGGTAGTGGAAATTGATGATTAACAAGGCCTACACAGTTCTTCTAACCAGTATTATAATAAGGGACACTTTGTGTTGGACAAGCACTATGATCTGCTTTATTCTTCTTTGTTTCATTCCTCTTTTTCTTCATCCGTATCTAATTATCTTTCAGATTTACAACTTTTCCTGTGTCCTTCTTTGAGTGAGCCAGAAAAGCTTGTTCCCATCAATATCATGATGATCCATTCCTAGAGTTTCTCATGGGGTCCATTCTTACCCAGAAGTTGAACCAACAGCCAGTTGGTTGCATCCTTGTTTAGGCTACAGCTATTTCGGAAAGGGTTGTCCAGTTGTCTCTTGCATTTTTTTTTTTTTTGAATTTTTTTGAATTTTTCTTTGTACTGAACTACAGCCGAGGAGGTACAGCTGTCATCACTAGTTCAGTTCTGACAGGTCCAGTTCAGTAAAAAAATGAAAAAAATATAAAAAAAATAAAAAAATAAAAAAATAAAAAAGAATTCGCGAGTCCAAGTGGACAAGACTTCCCAAAATAGCTGTATAAGAAATGTTGGTTATTCCACTTTTGCATTTGACAGACTCACATTCACACTTAAAATTATTGTTCAACTTTCCACTGCAAGAGGTTTGGTTCTGATATCATAATTTCTGCCTGGTTCTGGGGGACCAGTGAAGATGCAGGTCTGTTCAGTGTTCAGCAACCAAGCCAAGCTTACTGCAGTCTGTATTCTCCTCTGGTTTTCTAACTCGATATGAGAGCTCCAGGGTCGCGGGATTCATCCCTACGGACCAACAACAGCCCACAACCATAGCCACCAACGGTAGCCACCAACGGTAGCCACCAACGTCAGCCACTAACAATAGCTATCAGCAAGCAAGAAGTTATAACCTTCAACGACAGTACACATGACATTAGAGCTATGTGATGAGGAAATCGCTAGAAGTTGCCATGAAGGCCGCTTCTGCACTCCCCCCACCCCTCATTTTGTTCTCGTTAAGTCCTGAATGATACGTGCCAATTCTCGAAATCCCTTAAACATCTCCAGTATCTTAATTCACTGAATCACTTCCTTCCGGTCTAGAAATAAAAAGGCTACGATGGTATCGCATCGATTTATTTTTATCGCTGTGATCTGCTTGTTGAATGCTCCTAGCTCGCTCCAATTGACCAAACCAGTACCCCTCACTGATATCAAGTGCAGTAAAAAACGACAGTTACGGCCCGGTGATTGCGCAAGGTACGGTTGAAGGTTTTAGCTTTGAAATCTTTCCAGAAATTCTCCCACATGTACTAGTCCGGCTCATGAACATTCATAAAGAAATTGACCCCATTTGCATCTCTTTCTTCGTAACCCCGAACGAACACAGGGCATACCAAAAAATTATCTACGACACAGATCTGACTCTTGACCAAAGTGAAATTACCCTTGAAAAGGTTTCCGGAAGCTGTGTTGTACGTTCTTGTGCTTTGGTTCTCGAAAACACTGTAGCATATTATGTACTACATTGGTAAATTATTCAAATGAAGTGCTGATGCTTATCTTGAACTTTCGCCATTAGACGCGCATAGACAATCCAAAATTCCTGAATGTGTAAGTCAAAAAAAAAAAAATCTGAAGTCCCTCGTGTGTAAATGTCAAATAAACAAACAGTGAATATTGACTTTGAAACCATTCTCATTTTAACTAGTCCGAAGGAAATAATTGAAGATGCCTTCAACCAAGTCGTAACAAAATGCGACGGCGTTGTGCGTTGATAACCTGCCAATCTCCTGTACCATATCCTGCAAGGAATTCAGAATGCTGATTCCAACAGATAATTCTGGCATCCCCTTTAGCCCGGCCATGCGAATCTCACAAGTTTTGATGGGGTTCGCGTGCTGGTCAGGCATCATACTCGCCCTAGTGTATATGGCTACGAGGATGATACGGAGTTAAACCAATCGATCTGCTTCCGTGATTCCGACACACAAGACATAGTGGAGGAGGATTGTATGGAGTACGACATATCATCTTTTTGTCATTGGAGAGTATTGCCTTCCCGTATGCTGATTGAAGGATGCACACAGGGCCTACAGACTGCTCCCTACTGACACTGCAGGTCACTTTTTGTCGGTTGAGCACCACGTACAAGGTAATTCAATTGGCTTGACGTTCAAAACATGTCTCGTAAGTCAAACCCATTCACTGCCTCACGGTCACCAACACTCCCAATCCTCTGCGGGCCTTCCATTGAACTGTTCTTGTGGCTCTGGTACTGATGCTGTGCACAATTTTTTAAATCTGTAAAAACAGGTGAGTGTATGGACATCTGATGGCTCAAAGATCATTGTGTGCGTTCAAATCTAGCTGGGCTCATTTTAGTGGTTTGTTACTGACTAACAAATATCATCCATATCACAACCAAACAGCTTAAAGGGTGATATGGAAAGGTTGTTTGGAAAGCTGATGCAGCAATGCAAGGTCAATGGGAAGGTGAGAATCAATTTCCAGCTTATCACAATCAGAGGCAGTGACTGACTCAATCCTGGTATCATAGGGAGGGACTTTAATCACTGAAGGAGCTCAGGGGAAAAATGGAAAAGTGAACCTGCAGGTTTCTACTCCAAAAACATGACTTATTAGCCTTGGAAGTTCATTGCCACGGAACATTCCAATATAATTCCCTTTACTGCCAAGGGAAATTATTTACATGGGGTCCAATACTCTAAATGAAGAAGCTTAGTATTTCAAAATGTTGTTATTATTTCAAAACTTTTTGTCCTGTTCACTTTATGTAGCTTGGAACAACAACAAATGACTGTAAAATTATGAAACTGATTGTCTGAAATTGTGAAAAATCATTGAGAGTTTCAAAGTTGTTATAATAATTATCCAAGTGATAAAAATCCTAAATCAATTAACTCCTCTTGTACTTAATGAATTGCTCAAAATTTGTAGGCTTTGTGTGGACAAAAAAAAAGTTCCCACTGATTACAAAAGTAGTGGAAAGTTACAATGTGGGGCTATACAGGTCACTTTGGATACCAAAACTTCTTCAAGTCATCAACCTCTATTCATTGGATAAATTAACTGATTAAAGCTTAACCAAAAATTCTACTCAGAAAATTACTTTATCACAACTGTTTGCCACAATTTTCTATGAGCTTTTTAATACTTAACTTTCATCTTGACATATTGGTTCTCCAATAGAAAAAAATGAAAAAGTCATGCATTATGCATGTTCAATCTGAAGCATGATTTTATGGTCAAAGGATCACTTCAGTGTTGCTTTCTTGAGTTGAAACATTCCTCTTAAAAATGTCATGGGGAATTATCTAGTTATCCATTTTTTTCACAATGGACATAATTAAAAATTGATTTTCTCCCAAATAGTTACTTTCAAGGTGAATCAACTAAAAATTGATTTTCTCCCAAATAGTTACTTTCAAGGTGACTCAACTAAATGGATAACTGTAAATTACCCATCACTTCTGATCCTGGTTAAGATGGTAAAATCCGGACTAGTTTTCTAAGAAATACATAGTTCTTTCTGGAAAGAAGCCAATCTTCAGGGACATAAATTTGCCAAGTTTGATTCCTCCCTGGTGGAGGGGTCCAAAACCCCTGAAGAACTGAGTCTGATATACTTCTCACCCTTTTTCGACAAAGAAAGCTCCTTGCCACCCAAACTGGTATGTTCTGGATGGTTTTCCCCAGGGGAAGTACTTCACAGAGAGCTGATAGAAATCTATAACAGGTTGTCTGGGAACATTCCACCCCAAAAGATTCTATGCACAGCTTTTATCATTGTCAGCATAATATGCTGTTGTAGAGTAGCAGCGTAATATGTAGAATCCCCACCAAATTTGACAGAATTTGAGCAAAGTTCACACATCATGCTTGCACTCAACACTTAAAAATGTGGCCTTCATCAAAAGAAATTAAAGAAAGGACAAATTGAATCTATTTTGAAATTGAAATTTGGAAGATTGATCAAACCAACATGTACTTTTATGACCTTGATTTATTTTGTATAAATGTTTATGATTAAAAAATTGATAAGTAAAGAAGACTACAGCTCAATTTATGCAATGAGGTTTTCCAAAACTACTCAACTCTCATATTTCTGGAGAGATTATCAGATAGTTTTTCAATAGAGAAGCAGAAGATAGTGTTGAAAAAAGTCTTAGTGGTTGCAAGATAGTCTTTATAACCGGTATGCTTGATTGAATCTAACCAGCTTGTCCTAGATTCATTCATCCAAATCTCCAACAAAGTCCAAGTACCTGAATAGGAGTCCATAGACTGACACCAACTTATCTGTTCTTCAACCTGAATTCTTCTTTCTTTCAGAAGGATTTCATGCATTGTTTTGGGCAAACAGTTCACCTTTTCCTTGTCAAAGAGTTCTTCGACCATCTTGATTGCCTTTTCTAGTTGAAAACCCACATCGTTTGCCTCCCTGACGTGGGGGTTAATGACAATCGTACTGATCATCTCGACATACGCTAAAAACTGCAAGATCATGATTCCTCGTTGTCTTGATAGATGACTACTTTGATCTTCAATCAAACTTTCCAAGTTGCTCTTTGTTCCTTGCTCCCACCAATGCTGGTACCAACCCTTCCTGTTTTGATATAGTGATGTGCTGGCTGTCACAAAGGAATTGGTCCGTTTACTTTTCAATAAACGTTTTCTATTGGCGGGGAGGGTATCGGGATCTTTTCGGGTTCGATTGTGGGCCAACTTGAGTGTGCCCCTTGAATGGAAGTTCAGGAATTCCGTTTCTGTCATCCGCATCTCTTCCTTCCCAAGTCTGTCTTTCATGAGTTCCAAAAGACGCTGTAATTTTTGTGGATAATCTTGCAGGGCGAGTGTAGAGGTAAGAACTTTCTCATCGAACTTCAACCTTTTCCATCCAGGTTTTACCTGCATCATATATGGTCCCAACGACTGCTTCATCTCTTTGTTCGGATCATCGACCGAAATCCGTGTGCGAGGTTCGATCGAAAGGTCCAGAGGAGTTTCGGGAGACCTTGCGGACCTGGAATTGCGATTCTTCGAGCCGGACATTTTGTCAGCTCCGACATCCTTATTGGATTCATCCGTCTTTTCAGACAGAGCACTTAATCCGAGTCGATTTGAATTTTTCATCATCCTATTTTCCGAAAAATAACTTGGCGTGACTCCAGGACTCATGACAAAGCCCAGCAGTTTTATGGCTTGATTGGGTCTTGGGTTGAGAGTCTCATGAGCAGGAACAGAAGGCGCCCCGGAAGATTGTGAATGTGTGTGACCGCTGGGATGATCCAAGCTTCTTTGCCGTTTCAAGTCTCGTTCAGATGGATGGTGGGATCCTGACTCGATTTCCAATGCCTCTTCTGGCTCAGCTATGAAACCAAAATGCCGCTTAGATTCTGATAACTGTATACCCGGATGCTTACTGGACTGGATTGGACAAGAAGAAAGCTGGCTGGCAAAACCGGAATTTTGATCACCTTGGGATAAATAAGTTGAAGGATTCTGATGCGTCAAAACTTGTCTGTCAGATGCGCATAGATTAGAATTCACGATAGGTATCCTGCCGCCGGAGCCCGACAGATTTTGATTTACAGAAATCTGTCTCTGCGCTTGGTCATCCGAAAACTCGAGAAGAGGACGCTCAGAAGATTTATACATTGCCTTGCAGCATAAGGAAAGTGAGAAACAGGAAAGCAGTTGCTGGATATCGGTTTTCATCTCCTCGAAATCGATCTATGAGAAGTTTTATCTATGAGAATTTGCTTATGTGGATTTCTTTATGAGAATTTATCTCTGAGGATCTTTGGATATGATATATTATTTTCAGGTTCCATGGGGAGGATGAACCAGGGTTGGCTGTGATTGACTGATCTATGCTCACCTACCCTTGTTTGCGGCATATACGTATGTCTAGACTGCGACCTCGGTGAAGCCTGGAGGGCGGATTGTATGAGACGGATGACCGGTATGACTATGGCATGACCCGCTGTACTCTTCGTACTCCCGTTTTGCCGACTGGAAGAAATGAAACAAGTAAATATTGGGGAGCAGGGTCTGGCCGATCACCCAGTGTGAAAACTCGGCCAGAAGAAATTGCCCTACTCTATCCGCGAAAGTGTTATTCATCGAGTAATATAGGGACGGCCCGGAAGAAATTGGAGATTAAGCTGAGAAGCATAAGGGAGGACTTTCCCGTCGCGCCATTGCACCCTACAATCCTTAACACAGAGGCTGCAAATCTGATTTTCCACTGCGTGATGATTCCAAATCACTTGTGAATGGAAGAACGTAAGATGTAAGTCCCACCTTGTCTGAAGGATATTGAAGGACCCGGATTGTACACAGTTAAGTTGAGGAAGAAAGAGGACAGTCTGACTTACAAGTATACTAACTTGTCAATCTCACAACATTTGTTGCTCATCCAACCACGGACGGCAACAATCTCTAGCTTCACAGCAACAACCGTGCCGACACGACGGTCTGAGCATTACTGCGTCCGGGTTGGCCCTGAGTTGATACGTCAAGTCTCTCCAATGTGTGGGAGCTTGCGGACCTAGTGGCACTTCGCGATGGACGAAGCACGTCTTCCGGCAGAGAAGGAGGACGATCAGAGCGTCCTACCCCTGCGGAGACGCCCAAGGAAGAGCCGAGAGCCCACATGTATTTATAAGCTAGGCTCGGACAACATCTGCACAGGCCAAACTTGCTGGTAGTGTTTATCAAAAGCCAGCCTTGTGAACCGAGGGTACCGAAGGGCAGCATGCAGACCGAACTTGGCACATCTCTCCTTCCCGTGGGCTGCTTGAGGGAAGGCCGAGGCTCTCTGTATGATGCATCCCCCGCCGCGGCAATTGGCTCTCCGTGGAGTTCGGCGAGAGGCTATTTATGACGGAATCATTTTTCCTTGTACTTCATGGATAGATACGTTCTCTTAAAGAAATGTATTGCTTGAGACCCTTGGTTACTTTGCATATTGCCTTTTCATCAACAATACTATGTATAGAAACATAATAGAAAGGAAGGAAGGAAAAGGGAACTATCTATCTATCTATTTATTGATGTATATTTAGATATATGTAAAAAAAGGTCGGATTAATGTATCAATTATGATACAAAATGTTAAAAAAAAAAGAGGAAATCCAATTGATTTTTGATGTCGAGTAAATCAACAGATAAAAAGATATAATCAACGAATCCACTGAAGATAAAGAAGAAATCGAGAGGAAGAAAAGAATGAAAAAAAAAAATTAAGTGGTCTATGAAGAAGAAAAAGAAGAAGAAGAAAGATCACGAGATCGGTCTGAGAGCTTTACAAAGTTCAAAAGTAAGCCACAAATGAAGATGAGTAATTCATATTTTGGTGAGGAAGGAAAGAAAGGAAGAGAGAAAACATACAGTTATAATGTTCGCCCAGTCCATAGGATTTACGATGGTATGAGATCGTCAAGGCGATGTTCCCTCTAGGCTCGAGAAACTCTTCGGAGACTTTGATTGTTGGATGGAAAGCCTGGATGACATGGATTGAGAATTTCAATGCTTTGGACAGTGCCAAGATCTGATGATGAAAGAAACCGGCCCAAGATCAATTACGGTTTTAATCAAGTGAACAGAAAGAGTGAGAGAGAGAGCAAGGGGAATGGGGAAAGAGACGGGACCTCAGGCTCGCCGCCCCAACAAGCCGAGTCTCGGACGCGATCACAATGCTCCTCATACTCCTTGGAAGACATCAATCCCGCCTCCAATCCATCGTCCTGGCCCGGCAGATAATGGATGAACTCTTCGGGATGCTTGCGCATGTATTCCGAGGCGAGTTTCCGGCACGTTTGGTATGTGTATCTCAAGGCCCCTCCGACCGCTTCGTCTCCCTTTGTGGGCGTCGTGGTCGCCGTTGAGGGGCCATTTGTCTGGCCACTTAACACATTCATTTGGTCGGCTATCGCTGAAAATAAACAATGTCCATCCGGTATAATCTAGTTTTTTTTTATACATATATTAATAAGTCCAATATAAAACCAATTTTTTTTTGAAAAAAAAAAATGAAAAGGGAATGGGGAAAAGGGACTACTAACCTCGAAGATTTGTAGCTTCAAAGAGAGACAAATTCTGAGCAAAGCTTCGGCCTCTAACTGGCGATGATCGATGACGGGATGGATAGAAGATTCGAGCTGAGCGTCGAGCTGAGCCTGGAGCTGGGCGGCCTGGCGCTTGGCGATTTTCTCCTTGGTTCGATGCGGTTTCTTCTTCGGCTTGATGCTAGCGAGTTTTCCGGGAGAGGAGGGATTGATCGACGAGCTAACGGCATGCGCCACTTCCTTGATATCTTCACTAAGGCCATGCAATTTCCTCGATATCGTGCTGCTTCTGCTTGGGTTCCCATTCGCTTCCTGTTGTTGTTGTTGTTGTTGTTGTTGTTGTTGTTGTTGTTGTGTCTTGGTTGTGGTTGGGGTGGATGGGGTGGTTGGCTCGGAGGATGAAAGAGTGAGGTGGTTGGTTTGGGTCAAGAGTTGGTCGAGTAATTGGTCGTTATCGATCGACTCTGTGGGATGACCTTCTGTTTCTTCTTCTTTCTCTTCCAGCTTTTCTGTTGCTGTTACTAGCTGCTCGTTCTTGTTCTTGTTCTTCTTTCCTGGTTTCTTGTTACTGGTTGATAGTTTCTTCTTGGGTGGTAGTCTCGGTCGCGACAGGATATCGGCTGCTGTCTTAATCGTCTTGGCTGTTGTGGTGCCATTCTCCTGTTGCTTCTCTTCGCCAGCTCCGTTGGTCTGTTGTTGTTGTTGTTGGTGTTCTGCTTGGTTGGAGTTGGTCATGATTGTGATGGTTGGATTTTTTTTTTTTTTTTTTGGAAATGGAGAGAGAAGGATGTTTTTTTTTTTTTTCTTTTCGAATTGGCGCTTCCCGGACAACTCCTTGCTCAAACTGCCCTCATCTCTTAAAACCCAACCAGCAACAACAGAATATGTAAACAATACTCTGATATGACTCTTGATTGATTGATGGCATGCTGGCCATACAGGATATCAGAAAAGGAGCTTCGATCCCTCAACCTTGATCGAGAACAAATGAAACTGGACCATCTCAAAATTATAACATAATTGGCTTTCAACTGCAACCATCTCCAAAAAAAAAAAACAGACACACAAACTCTAATTCGACTCTGAAAAGATTGGACAAGAAAATACCCACAGCTGCGTGTAACACTCCCTTGCCAAGCTGAGTGGGGAAATCATATCCATACCCAAATAATAATCGAAAATTCCGATTCAACCAATCAAATTAAGGGGCTCTGCATTTCCATTAAAAAAACCAAAACTTAACTTCACATACGTGTGTGTTTGAGAACATATAACATCTACATAAATAGGACCAATCAATCCTAAAGAAATCTTAAAGTTGTAATAGCCTGTTAATTAGCTTATTTCCTGTCATTAAACAAAGTCAATGTCCCCACATTAAGTTGATGAAACAGTAAAGGGGAGGTGGGGGGAAATGAGTGTCTATTTTGGTACGCAAAAAAGTGCTACAAGGGCAGCCTGTTGATTTGTGTAGTTGACCACAAATTTATGTTTGACTAGAAAGAAATGAGCTTACAGCCTTCATAGCCCAGTCCACACAGGGGCTCACTCATACATACACTTAGTAGCGGGGCTCACCATAGCATCTTACAAGAAAGATTTTTCAACACTTGCAAGAACTGTCTCACCTTGCTAAATCAAAAACCTCACATCAATGTCATAGAGGTGAGAGCTCAGATGGTGCAACATTTAACCACTCAGTCCAGTTGGGTCCTTATACTGAGACCTCAGAAAACTGTAGATCATGCTGAAGTGGGTTTTTGAAACTAAATTTCAAAACTGAAACTTATAAGTCTGGGGAAAGAGTTTCTAGCCACTCAAGAAGCGAAAACAAAAAACTCTGTTGTGAAAAGCCCTCTATATTTTAGAGTCTGAGATGGCCTTGTGGTGTGTGTTGGGTCGTAGCCGCAACAGTGGGTCAGCTATGCTATGCGGCTATCATTAGCATCAACAAAGCACAGCAGAATACCACTAACACTACACTTATTTTCCATTAGCTACTAGCAGTATCACACTAACTCTGATGGACACAGAGTAAAATATTCTGCCACCATGCAGCAATGCTGGGCCGCATACACTACACTTTTTCCTAAAAAGTGTTAGTGTAGCAGTGTTTATTTGTGCACCAAAATTTGTAGTTTTAGCAAAAAGTTAGTGGTTCTTTGCAATGCTACACAATGCTGCACTACAGGCTGCTAATGGCCACTAAGGCTACTACAGAATCAAAATGCCACTAACCAGCCCGTTAGTGCAGCGTAGCAACAACAATGTAACTGATGCAATGCACGCATAGGCATTGCATTGAGATAGAAATGCGGGGCCCTGCATTGGATTCTTCAATACAGAGCATCGGCATCGCATTGGCAAAGCAATGTGATGTGATGTGATGCACTATAATTTGGTGGCATTGGTTTGCCTCACTGTCCAACACAATGCCAATGCAATGCATCAATTTTTTGATGTGATGCCGATGCAATGCATCACTTTTTTGATGTGATGCCAATACATGGCCATTTATTGCATCACATCACATTGTTTCATTGTTGGTAGCGGGCACTTTTTAGGGGGCCTGAACGTGTAGTGTTTGTTAGTGAGGACACGGTGGAATTCCGCTACACTACGCTAAAGTTTAGCAGAATTCTGCTATGTTATGCTGTTCCAACCGCTACTGTTAGCGTAGCGGCCCACCATTCTATGCAGTGATACAAGCCTTTTAGTGTTTCTTTTGCACAAAAAGGGGTGTAACACAGTGTAGTCTTAGACTAATGCCACTAATTCAACAGCATTAAGAGATACTTTTTGGGGTTACTATGCTACCACCAGGTGGTTTTTGTAGCACAGTTTTGCATAGCAACCCACTGTTTTTAGCAGGGACTGATGGATGGCAACTACTACCTCCTGAAACCAACATTGTTAAGCTCACAAGTGCTTGTGAGAACCTTTTGCTGAGTTTGGAAAGGGATGTGTGAGGTAACCTCTGCCGTTCCTGTGTACTACACTAAACAAGACCACCAATCTTAGATTGGCAGCTTTTAATTAATGATAGTGGAGTGTATCAAAAGATACACTGTTGTTTAACAGGTGGACAGGTGCTAAAATGGGTTGTTTGTTATGTATAAGATGTTATAATATTGTATAAAAGGGTTCTTATAATTGAAAAACCAAAATATTGGGGAACAAATAATATTATGGAGTGAGCAGTGATTTGCCTGTTATGTGGGGAAATGTCTGCAGGAAGTCTGCTGGGGAGAAGTTACAACTGGGAGGAAGGGCCTCCTTATATAGACAACAATGAGGTATTTTGGCTCCAGGGGAGCCAGGAATGAGGTATTTTGGCTGGTTGTACAGCCTTACATGAGTTAATTTGGCCAAGATGGAAGAATACATGAGGGGTTTTGGCTGGTGGTACAGCCTACATGATGTGATTTGAGAAGTTGAGTGGTTTTTGCCGTATTGAGAAGCTGTGCAACGGTTGCTATGCAACCTAGCAACCTACAGGCTGTGTTCTGTAAGCCGCATGATGTCATCCTGTATGTTGAGGCTGTACACATCACATGACAGGTTGCCAAGGTAAACTGTATGCTGTGCCTGAATAATTCCATTGTACTTGATTGAGATGTACAGATGCCAGATCACATGGCCCAGAGGGGTGAAATGTGTACCTGAAATCCTTGTAACATGTAAGGGTGCTTGACCCCCCTACTTGTGAGTGAAAGAGGGGTTTAGAATGCAACACAGAGGGGTTAAATGTGTCCAAGCCTGCTCCTCTAGGGTAATTTTGTCCCTGGAATCCCTTCCTGGAGCCACATTTGGTGTCATATTATTGTATATACAAGAAAATATAAAATTTTTGGAGTTTTAGGATGGGAAACCATAAAGTATCCCACAACATGCTGATGTGTGACACCTTGTGCATGTTTTGGAATAAAAACCCACCTGGTACCTTAGTACTAGAGATTGCCTCAGGGTATTCTGTTGCGGAGCCAGAGGATTCGGATTTGGGTGCAGATGCCCTATTCTCCTTGGAATCTTGGCAGGTATCTGGGTATCTCCAGGGATACCCGTCAGATGGACCCTCTTGGCCTTGATACGTTTTACACTCTCAAGGCCAAGAGGGGTTCCTCTTGGCCTGAAGACTGTACAGTCTCAAGTCCAACAAGGTACATGTACCTTGTCGACCGCGTTGGCCAGAAATAAACCTTCTGGTTGACAAGGTACATGTGCCTTGTCAACTGGAGACAAGGCACATTTACTTTGTTGGCCGGAAGGAAGACCTTCTGTTTGATTGCTGGCCGCCCCCTCCAACCACCCTTAGTTTAAGGGGCGGATATCCAAAGATACCCGCTAAGGCGGTGTGGAACTCCTATCGTGCCAGGCGGTAGGCAGTTGGTTGAAGGGAAAGTGCTTTGAGGGCTGCCTTCAAGTGGGGTCTGGATGAGTGAGCTGTGATCTGAACAAAAAGTGTTGGGGTTGGCTGGTTTTCTGAGAGGAGACAACAGAATTCGATTTCTGTGGCGGTTGTTGAGGTTGAGGATATGTGAAGGTGAGTATGAGGATCAGATGAATCAATAATAAAAAGATCAATAAGAAATGATGGGTCTATCTTGGATCAGATCAGAGTGCCATCCTTCCCCATCATCTCAGTTCAAACTGAACTTTGACTCTGGGGAGTGACACGTCACAGACATGTCATCACATCCCTAACTACAACACCAATCAACCAGAAACAAAAACAACACAACACAACACAACACAACACAACACAACAAAACACAACACAACACAACACAACACAACACAGAACAGAAGAAGAACACAGAATAGAACAAACAAACAAGATCAGAATAAACCAACATAAATGAAACTATGTCTTAGGACCAAGAAATAAGAAACAACACTGTCTTCTGAGTAAATGATTTGAAAAAGATAAGTAAGAATAATAAAATGATAAAAAATAAAAATAAAATAAAATCAAGATGAATAAAAAATAACATGAAGAGTAAATAATAAGAGGAAATGGAATAAAATAATAAAATGAGGAAACCATTGGACTGAGTGGGGATTTGAGGTGATAATATTGAAATCTTGAATCTTGAGGATATTGAAGAGTTGAAAGTTGAATTCTGAAATTGGACCTTGAGGGGGCCTGTACCGTTTAGAACACCACAGCGGAGGGATACCTGCCAGCAGATGCGGATGGCTGATTCCCCTGAAAAAGCAGCCGGATTTCCGGATGCGTTGGGGCCATCTCTCCTTAGTACAAGATCAAGAAGCCTGATGTTAATACAATATCAAACCACCTCAAGTACCACTGGTACCTGTCTGGCGGTGCCAGGTGTGGTACCTGGTGTGGTACCTGGTGTTTCAGCCTATGTGATGCCAAGACAAGTGTCTTCTAGCTACACAAGGTGCAAAAATTAAGATTTCTTATGGTAAAAACTCAGGGACAAAACTGGTATAAGTAATTCAGAAGAATTACGTGAAAATTATGGATTAAATCCAAAAAGTGGCCAATTTATATTAATAGAATTAATATAAATGAAACCAGAGGGGCCTGATAAATCAGGGGTGGTTTAATCCCTCTAAGGTATCATTCAAAAAAAAGAGGGTTTAGGTACCTGATACACTGGGGCCTGTAGCAGGTGTGGTTTAAATCCCAGGAGATAATTCTTAGGGGGAAAACTAGTAATAATCCAAAGGGGTCTTGAGGATCTTCTTAGTAGAAGCTGGACAGTTGTGAGCGCTCAGAATGGTTGATTTTGGGTTCTGGGTGATAACTGGGGAGTTTATTGAGGGATCTTGAGGCTTAATAACAGCAAAAATAGTAATAACTAGGCTAATTACAAGTGTAGGGGACTTGTAAATGGTAAGTATTGTTGAGTTTTCACTGTCTTTGCCTACTCTTCCCTAAATTCACTTCCTCCTTCCCCAATTTTTTCAACTATTTTCCT